GGTCATTATTTATGACAAGTGCGGGAAAAATTGTAAGCGGTTCACTAAGCTCCGGAAGTGGAAGCAGCTTCGCTGACCGTGGGGATGAGCGAAATGTATCTGAGCAACGGTCTAATCAGCTTTAGATACTAGTTTCCGCAGTGTCCTTCTCGATCTTCAGAAACTGCTGTTTTTACCAAACCCCCGAAACTACCAATGGTGAATTAGTGTAGCCCTTTATATTTTGCGCGATAACGTTGCTACTGAGTCTTAATCAGTAAGATACTTGTTTCGGTATTGTTTGTTCCCTATGTCGACATGGGTAACCAGAGGTATCCAGTGGCATCTACTCCAACACAGCAGCATTACTGAACTACTCATTTAATCCTTATCAACGTGTCTCTCGCCTGTTAGAAGATGGACATCAGTTGAGAGGATATCGTATTTTGTGCAGAATAATTGGAGGACAAGTTGGAGCAAGTTGGAAGGCGGACGAAGGCACACGCCCAGCGTCGCGAGGGCGTCGGGCGGTCACCAGGGCGCTCTGAGCGAGGGCGCCTGTGTCCGCCTTGAAGTTGATTGGCCGGTTTTGCTAACTGTGATTGGCCGAGAACCAACCTGCCACTGATACGAGAGTGCAGGCACGCGCGAGAGACGTAGCGTTGAAACCGGCGCCCTGAGTAGGGCCACTGCATTTTAATAGCACTCACGATCACACAATTTTGCCGCGTTGTAACCTGTTGGGTGTAGGTGAAAGACCATACAGGTGTTGCCCAGAGGCCAAGCCATCATCGCTGAGTTCTCCTGTGTAGCCTCTCCAAAGTTCTTCAAAGTTTCACCATTTGTCACTTGGTATGACTGCGACCATGCCTCATCTGTCGGGGGTCGATGACGCCACCGATGGTACCTGTCTATGCAGGACGATTAACAGCGACGGACCTGGAGAGTCCGGCCTTGTTCCTTCCCCAGCGACGGATAATAAACATTCTAGCCCCAAAAACCACCTCCATGTCTTGAGGAATCGAGTCAAGCTAGGCTTTGGGCTGACATTCTCTTCGGCGCCTGTAGTTGGACAACGGTGGCAGATGAGGGGCAGACGACTATGCACGTGCCCAAACAGCCTCACTCGCCCTTGTGGATGGCCCGAGATAGCCTTGAGTTGTTGTCACAGTAAGTGCAGACTGTTCCATTGGAGACGAAGCCCGTGTAAGTCACTCGTAAAATGGTTCTCAGGCAATGGCTGTCTGGCACCTCCAATTTTCGCAAGTCTTCCACTCGTGCAGCCCATAACGTACAACCGTTTAAAAAAGGGTCACGGGTTGATCATTTGGCCTGAGAAGAAGCATCCACGCCAACGCTCGACCTTGATTGAGTTGACAATCATAAATCCGCCAGTCAAATCTTGAACACAGTCTGTCAATGCGGGGGACATACTAGTAAGTTGTCAGACAGTCTGGTGGCCTTGTCAAGTGTTGTGGACGTTTAAGACCTATTCCATAAAGGCCGTCGTCTCAGCCATCTATGGTCTGCTTTTTCGTCATCTTCTAAATAGGCGGAAGGAATCGGCATGGTAGGACCTGCCTCCAGCTGTTTGGGCAGACATCTGTATGGTCTTTGAGCTGACCTAACGCTGTTGCGCGAATCCGAGAATCTGTCAGTTGTCTCGTGGCTTGAGGACTCCAGTGAGGACCAGTCGCCATTGCCTTCTCCTTCTCAGACCGGATTTCTCTGCTCAGGGCTCCGACTGGGCTGCGTTGTTATGATTTTTCGACCTCCTTTCCTCTGACATACTACATTTCGGAGTTGGATGTTATTTTGTAGCCGTACCTGCAGTAGACAATTCCCAGCCTAACCCCTAATCTCAACCCCTAACCCCAACCCTTAACGCTAACCCCTAACCCTCATTCCTAACCTATAACCCCTAACAGATACGGCTACGAAATAGGATCTTGCCCAATTCGGCTTTGGATGAGAGGGGAACTTTTGACCATGGGCGAACGAGAACATGATCGGACACATGGGCGCTGCCAGTCTCGGGTTACAATCATGCACCCTGCTGTGGATCCTTGAACAGACCAGACTCTATAGACAAGGGAGTGCCGAAAAAGACACGACGGATCGGTCATTTTGACTGACCGAGTTACCAACATTTAACGGTAGCAGATATTGGCCGCGACATCCAAAGCGGCCGCTGCGGTGACTGTTTGAAGAGTCAATAGGACCGACATTTACGTCCCGCCTAAACAGGACACGAGAACAGGAACCGTCTGCAATACGGAGGGCTTTGAGCCAACTTCCAGTGATACAAGGGCTGAATTTAAGGCTGGGGTTAGGTTAAGGATTAGAGTTAAGACTAGATGTAAAGTTAACGGTATGGTAAGTCTGGATCAAGTTTAGGGTTAAGGTAGGGACTAATGTTAACTGCAGAGTCAAGGTTTAGTGTAGAGTTAGGGTCAAGGTTAGGGCAACGGTTTAGTTTTATATTAGGCTTATTGTTGGAGTTAGGAGACTGGAATATTTTGTCTTTTCCGGAATAGTGCGCAGGTCCACCTTTATTACTTGAACGGAGCGTTCCTATTCTCATGTGCTGTTTAGGGGGGCATTGAAGGCAGTCCTATTGAAGATATTCCCGACCCAGCTTAACTAATCCGACTCCCAGTTACTACTAGCAAATTGCGACGAGGAAGTTTTACAGCTACCTCGCACACCTGCCAGTACGGGCTTCTTTGCTGGCGTACACACAAAAACTACAGTGATGTTGGTGAAGTGCCCTCTCAGTCGTGCGTAAGCTAGTCGGCCATGAACTGGTTCCTATGTCAGCAACGAATGACGCATCTCTTTCGAGACGTCGATTGTCAGGCCACATCTATAGGAGGAGTTACGCGGGCCATTGTAGTAGGTGAGGTGGGAGTTAAAACTCGGGATTTCAGGCTCCACGCCACACCGATTAAGGCAGTGCAATATCTAACTCTGGATTCCGAGGTCCAGGAACAGTCGCGCACTTCAGTATACAGTGCTAAGGGTCCGTCCACGAATGAGTAGTTCGGCCCGCATACTACTCACTCGCATCAGTGAACCAGAACTGTGCGGCGCGTCGGTCCTCCCGGGGGAGACCGTGACATGAGTGGTATTACCGTCTTCGGGTATTTTCGTGCGATTTCCTGCGGGCTTTGTGCGCAAGCAGGTCTCCAGAATTTCAAATGACCTACTAGAACTCGACACCGTCTGCCATTTAGGTCTAACGCAACAGCACAACCTGTCTAACAGGCGATTTACGCTATGTGGCCCTTACTTGTATGTAACTGTGGAGCCAGTCTCCCACCGCGGAGACGCGGTCTACGATTCTGAACAGGAATGCGTACAATAGCCCCCCTAATAGCGCTCAACAGTCTCGTTCGATCACCGGCCCTCCTGGGATGGCGACGTTTCATGAAGCCTGCCAGAGGCCAAACTGGAGTGGGACAGTCTGATAACACTCTTTTCACATACCTCGTTTGTATGAAAGGACGAACCGTAATCGACTGCGCTTATCACTCACACGTTCAGTCTGTTAACAGTTTTAACAAAACTTGTGTGCTTCCTCAGAGTGAACGAAGCTCAGTAGACTAATTGGCGAGCATACGCTCGCTTCCGATGAATTTTCTTCAGGGTACAAGTCAAACATGCCAGTGATTAGAAAAATTGATTAGATCTCGTTTTAAAAACACAGGGGAGGAGCGAAAGGGCGCGGCGAGTTGAATGTATTTCGTCAGTCTTTGACCACGGTAAGCGCAGAACCTGTACGGGGTGCTTCTGCGTACACAAGGCCGGTTTTCGTAAACACATTGCTGTTGCTGACAGGTGCTGGACCAGTAACGTAGGGTACCCGAGGGGGCCTTATAAATCGTACGAAAAGTTTGGCTGGGATCCACAGGATGCCCGGGACCAACACACGACAGTTCGACCGTCGATTTCGACGATGTCCACCGTGTGCTCCACAGCTGCAACAGCGGTGGGAGCAGGGACGGTGACTTACGCAGGGGTTTATAGTGCGGGTAGACTTGCGCTGCATCTACCTACACTCTCTCCTCCACCCCCGCCTGGGCCCGGTGTCAAGACAGAGTCAAGAAGACCGGAGACGAGGGAGGCCGCAGGTGGATGGCTCGGACGGATCCTCACCTTGGCGTTCCACCACACACCCTGGTCCACACAACAATAACCAGGATTTCAACCAACACAACAGAGATTTGGAGGCTGGCACGGCCGAAGCCGCACCTGGGCCTGCCGCCAACGCCTGGCTCGGATCCCACACTGTGGTGAGAGTGCCATAAAGGCCACATTAAAAAGGAGCCATTGCAGCCTGACTCTCAGACCGCCTCCCGTTAAGGAGGAGGTCCAAGATACCCCGTCAGTTGGCAACCTTCCAAGCCACGGCTTTTAGCGCACCGTGATAGCTTCAAGCGCGTCAGATTGTTTATAGTGAGGAGAAAGTGCGCTGAGTCGTCGACCTCACTCTCCCTTCCCATTCCCACACCCCAGCCGCTGACCGAGCCGGTCAGTAGACTGGAGTGAGGAATGGGCGCGGTGGCTGACATGGTCGACTGACCATGCCTGCGCGCGCCACAGCACGACCTGGCCCCCCATACACACACAAACACCAGGATTTCACACAACGGGGGTTGAACGGCGTGTCTCTCACTTGCGTGAGAGTGCCGTGGAAGGTGCAGTTGCAGCCCGTCCCCAGCCCACCAGTCTGCCACTACACACAACACACACACACACACAACGTGACGAACTGCGTGAACCGAGAGCGGGCCTCAATCAGCAACCTTCCTATCCACGACGCTTGACGTGTCGGGATAGTCTCGGACACAAGTCACCCGTGCAGCCGAAGCCGCATGGGGACCGAGTCGAGATGCACACTTCCCACTTGCGTGGGAGGCGGCAGTTGAGTGCATGAGGTGTGTGAGTGTTGATGTCTGGTGGGGTGATGGTGTAAGGAGGTAGGGAGTGAGGGAATGCGTGGTGTGACCGGCGGTTGTCTACCGCAGGTCGTCGTGGATGCGCATGTGGCCGAATAGACCCATGCGATGCGTGAAGGTGCGAGGGCAGTGTGGGCAGTGGAGGCGAGTGCGGTGGGTGTAGGTTGGTGCTCCAGGCACTGGTTCGCCGATCTCTGTGCGATGGATTCGCAAGTGACCGACCAGGCCAATGCGTGAAGTGAAGGTGCGATCGCAGTGAGGGCAGGTGCAGTCCTGGCCCTCACGTCTGATGTTGGAGTTTGCAGGGCTTGTGCCTGTTGTTGTGTCAGGTTCGGCTGTGGTGAAGTCGTGGGCGACAGACGCCGAAGCGGCCGTCTTTGTGGCAGTGAAGGAGGAAGAGGAGGAGGAAGGGGAGGAGTGAGGGGCGGTAAGGTCGGTGGCGTCGATGTCGGCTGGGGAGTGGTTAGTGGGTGCACAAGGTGATGGATTGGGAGTGGGGCTCGGCGGGGTGGGTGTGTCAAGGCTGCGGTCAATTCCGCTGTCGTGGATGCGCATGTGGCCGAATAGGCCCATGCGATGAGTGAAGGTGCGAGGGCATTGTGGGCAGTGGAGGCGAGTGCGGTGGGTGTAGGTTGGTGCTCCAGGCACTGGTTCGCCAGCCTCTGTGCGATGGATTCGCAAGTGACCGACCAGGCCGATGCGAGAGGTGAAGGTTCGGTCGCAGTGAGGGCAGGTGTAGTCCTGATCCTCATCACTGGAATCTGGAGAGGTGGGGGTGGTGGCGGTTGTTGTGTTGGGGTTGGTGATGTGTGAGACGGCAGTCTGAACGGCCGCCGCTGGGAACCAACAACATATGCGAGAATTACACTGTTTACGCTCATAGCTTCGCCTTTTCTCAGCCATGCCTGGAGTCGTTCATGTATTCTTTTGGATAGCCGCCGACTTGTGCGACCAGTATAACCTGCTCCACAGGAGAAAGGGAAGTAGATGGACATTGAGGTGTTCTGAGATGGCAAACTATCCTTACCTTCTCCGTGTAAAATAGGGTCATTGAAGATCAATATTTAAAGCCTTGCTGCTGGGAAGGTTAGTAAGACAACTTGATCAAGGCGTCTTCTTAGAAGACCACTCGCAGCGTCCCCTTGAAAAGGTACTTCGAGGAACAGCGTTTTTTTCCGCAGTCAGTTTGGTGGGTTTTTCCGGTTGCTCGGCAGTATTCTTTGCGATAAACCTATCAGGATGCCCGTTTTCGCGAAGCAAGTCCTGGATCTTCCCAAGACCCTCATCGATGCAGTCTAAAGGACAAATTTTTGAAGAAGGAGACACGATCGTCGGGACAAGAGCTTTATTAGCCTGACGTTTCGGATTCCTACTCGAATCCATCATCAGAGATGATGATGGATTCGAGTAGGAATCCGAAACGTCAGGCTAATAAAGCTCTTGTCCCGGCGATCGTATCTCCTTCTTCAAGACTACTTCCTGGGACTCGGCTCTTCGCTTCTATTGGACAAATTTTTCTTGTCCTTTGCGTCAAATACCAGACTAGATTTCGTTTTTGTCCGAGGGACAAAAGACTGCCGACGTGTCCAGACCAGGCTTCCTTTCGATAGACGCTCCTTCGGACGCTACTGTTAGGTCTCTTGTTTAAAAGAACATTCAAGGGGAACGGTAGAGTGTGGAACCCCACTTAACTGTCGATATACTGTGGATCGTGTCATGTGGAGTTGGATCTTGGTATCCATTTGCCGACGAATGCTTCCCATGACCTCAAACTATTACTCAAACTCTGCTGTTTCTCGAAAAATTGCTTTTTCTAATTAACGCGCCCATCCCCGTTGCCATGCTAAAGTGCATAACAAGGCTTCCGGCAGCAGTGCAAGCAATCTCCGTTCTCTTGCATTTCCTCATCTTATTGTCTGACGTGCTGTCCCACCCGTAAGACCCCCATCAAAACCATTCCAGTATGACACGGTCCACAGCCTCCCACAGTTAGGTGGGGTTCTTCGCCCTACCGTTTCCCATCCCCAGGAGGCGGAGCGAACCGGCCGTTCCCGTCTCCAATACGAACTTGATCGCCAGATATGTCTGATCTGCAGCATCTGAGAGGGCAGCTACGCCGGTTTCCGTGGTGGCAATTGCAAAGACGTCATTGACGTAGGGACCGTAATGTTTGAGCTCATTGATCTGATCGCTTAGTTGAAATCTCTCCAGTTTTCCCATGAAGACATCGGTTAAGAGGGCTCCAAGAGACAAGCCCATATTAGTGCCGACTATTTCTCCATAGAGTTGGTTGTCAAAAAAGAGCTGCGCATTTAATGCGCGGCCTGGTAGTAACCCCTATGGTGTTTTTGTCGGAATTCCCATTTACTGTTGATTGGTTGATAGGAACTCAGAGGTCTAATCAACTGTCTCGGTGGCCGGACGTTTCTAAAAAGTTATTGGAGAGCATCACCACACCGGCAACGTTAAGATCTTGGACGTCGAAGGTATGTCGGTGGCTGTGTGGTGCCAGCTGATGCTGTAGGGACTTGAGTTTCTCTGCTAACCACCTCGCTATCGCACGATACGGAGCTGGGCATGTCCGGCCAGCGACCGGCGGGCAGGGCTGTTCGAGAACGTCCTCAACGGCTGGCACGCCATCCGGCGGAATGTTCCAGAACGCACAGGACCAACATAAATAGAGCATCTTTCTGATGAGTTGTAATCCCTCCTGTTCGCAGGTTGCCAGTAAAGTGCTTGTCCTCCGAACCGGCTCTTTTCTTATTCCAACTTCCTTCCGGAACATAATAGATTGTGTCTTTGTCAGTGACCAGACCACACACTTAAATGCGGACATCAACGAACGGCAAGTCGCGGTGCCCCCTCAATTCCCTCCATAAAAAGTAACTTTCACAAAGTTGCTGCAGGCTTCCGTCAAAACACTTTTTATTCGTTATAAAACAATTTCCAAGTTTTGTGCATAAAAGACGGGAAAGGAGGGTGTAAACACATGGGTCAGAAAAAAATTTTCAAATAAGTCCAAGTCCCTGAGACCCTAGTAGATCAATCGAGATCCGAACTGTAACTGCAGTCCTTCACAGTCTCCGAAGTTGTGGTTGTTTTACGTCTACTGCTTGACCGTCCACTCGAGTGTAGTGGAAATCCCTCTGCTCGTTCATATTATCCAGACCCTAGCAAGGAGGAAGAATGCGTTATTTCATCATGCAGGCGGGCATTTTTGAAGACTTTTTACCGATCAAGGTCATTGACTTTTGTGCCCGAGGAATGTTACAGGGCACACCGAAGTAACCATTCCCGGATTGGTTGACTTCATAAACCAATGATAACCCATCACAGGGCAGGCGCCTGTGATTTGGAGATTAGTCATCTGGTCGAGTTCGGGTGTGTGGTTTCCATCGAACTATCATAGTTACAGGAGGTAAATGGGCCTTTGCCTCAGGTGATGGCTTAATGACTAGTTCTCATTTCTGCCCTGCATTCCGGACTGATTTGCGATCTCCGCATCTCAGTGAATTGTCCCTGTGCAGAAAAATGCTACAGGTAATCATCAATGATCAAATGCGCGACAAAGGGTCAATGCCCCTTGACCTTTGGGATGCACAAAATGACAAATTGCTTGAGGGTCGTAGAAGATGGGATGGAGGAGCATCATCAGAAGGTAGCGGTGCTTGCAGCCGAAAGCAGCTGCTGAACTAGCCGATACCGCTGCTGTTTTAGCCGACTGTAGACTGGTGGCGATGTATTACAGACAGATCCCAGTCTCGTCGAGTCTAGGAGTGGGGCTTTAGTATGTAGGAGAACGGCGGTGGGGTGGAGCCTCATTGGATGGCGGAAAAATTTGCCAGGACATCTTCTGCTATGACCTTGGCCTTTTCGTAGGTACTCGAGCTCGCTGACATGGGTCCTCTTACTCCTGGAGGTATTATCGTTGTATGATCCACAACTGTTCATTCGTCTGATTAGGCAGCGCGCTAGGGGCCGTTATACTGCCTGCCATACGCGAACGCACTGAGGAGATCGCGTTTTCTCGGGGTTCCCGTTTCTAGAAAACGTTTTTGATCTCTTTTGCTACTCAGTCCAAGCCGGCACTGTTAGCCAGGCCACTACTCCCCCCCCCGCCATCGACATCTGTGAGTCCAGCGTGCGGCAACATGGGTGGGGCTTCAGCGCCGCAGCTGCGAAACCCGAGTCCACGTGAGCTGCCCATCCCCTTCTCCCTACTACCGCTTGCATTCATCATTTAATGGCCTATCGCAACTGTGCCCCAGTGCCTCTCTCTCTCTCTCCCCCTCTTTATGCTGTTTACCCGTTTGCTGCTCTCAGTTGTGGCGGCCATGTGACCTGACGCGGGTTTTGTGGCAGGTTTCGACAAAGGCGCGGTGAAGGTCGTCATCTGAGTGGCTGGCCGTTTGGCCTTGATAATTGGACTGTTGCAGCCGCTCGCCCGCGTCGGCCGGCTCTCAGCCAATCAACAATGACAGCAACACATAGGGGACAAGACGCGTAGGTTTGTCAGTTCGATGGCACTCACGGATGGCCTAACCAAACATCCTTTCAAGTGAGACCGCTGCTTTGGAGGCTTGTGGAGTTCAGGAGGCGACCGCCTTAGGCATGAAGGCCTCTCTTACAAAAAGTGAAGGCCGGATCTAAATTTGGGTCCCATGAATCACGCAGTCACCAGGTCAGTTAATCAGAGGCCGAGAGCGTTCGTGAGGAAAGTTTTACAGAAACTAGCTTGGAAAGAAAAAAAATTAGGCAGGGCGTGCCTGACAGATTGAAGGGCAGGATTATGATGGGAGATATGTGAGGACCAAGTTCTTGTCAACATCGCCAACTATACTACTGACTAATTTCTGAACAGGTCCAGGAGGTGCAAGGATCGCGGAAGTGCAGAGGGGAGAAAGTTTGCATTAGTTTAAAAAACCTCAGTGTAGCTGCTTAGTGCAGAGACAGGCTGTGTACAGCGACTGGAGGAATGGACAGCCGCTGATTCCTTTACTAGCTACCTTTGTAAACAGGCGTTCAAAAGCGGCTGCAGAGGAGTTGGTCAACACAAAGTCTATCTGGGCATAAAATTGACGGTGTGCGAAGTTAAGGAGTGAGGCGGAAAAGGAGAGCCGAATCTGACCTCTGGTATAACTCGAACATTCCGTCTCTTGGCAACCCGACGTCGAGCATGTCGTTTGTAGTGACAGACGCAAACAGTTCCAACGAGAAGAAGCGTGGCGACCGCACCTGTCACAGCGATCAGATAGATTGTAAGGTTGGCTCTGGAAACCGGTGTATGGACACCTTCGCGTGCATAGGGATCCACACAACTGCCGAACTCTGATTCCCCCTCGAAGGGTCGGATACAAACGCGTATATGCCTGTTGTAGGTCATGTTCAGGCAGTCTCGAGTCTCATTGGGACACCTTGCGGTATCATGTGGGAACACTAAAATTCGAAAAAGGGGGAGAGAATATATGGTTACATGACTATAATGGAAGAACGTGGCACTTTTAGGTCCCTCAGAACGGACGTTTCGTTGGCAGTCGTATGGTCTACTTTCTGCTAACCATATACTGATTACATAAGTTTGGGAAGAGGGAGGGGAGGTAGAACATATATTTGGTCCGCACGTTATCAGAATGAATTATTTTTTAACTGCTTAACAACGCAATTCAAAGAACCCATAAAAAAGTGCATTTGAGAGACCCTCTCTGTAAGCATGTGAATATACTGACTATACAGGCTACAGTTATTCGGGAAAATTCGATGTTTCTACATACTGAGCAGGTAAAATGTCAGTTCACCAGACTTATGAGAACCCCCTGCAAGCAAGACCATTCATAAAACATCTTAATGTTGCGCGTAAATTATGCAATATGGTTCCAATCCACCGTAAAATTTTGTGAACTCCA